ACAGAAAACATGCGGATCCGAATCCGAAGGGGGTCCTTCGGCATCCCGATGAAATCCTCTGAAATCCCGAATGCCGGAGAGATCATGTGGAATCCCATAAGGATCTTGAAGAATCCTTTAGGAGACCGGAAGAATCCGCAGGTATCCTGCGGCATCCCTGTGGAATCCTCTGTACCCCCTAGGGACTCCTTAAGGATCCTCCGAAGATCCTTCGGAGGGCGTGCGGCGGCCCAGGCGTCGATGGCGTTCATTTGCATACTACTACTGCTACTACTACTATTACTACAACTACTACTACTACCACTACTACCACTACCACTACCACTACCACTACCACTACTCCTACTCCTACTCCTACTACTACTACTACTACTACTACTACCACTACTACTACTACTACTACTACTACTACTACTACTACTACTACTACGACGACTACTACTACTACTCCTACGGCGACTGCTACTTACTACTACTACTACTACTACTGCTGACTACTACTACTACTACTACTACTACTACTACTACTACTACTACTACGACGACTACTACTACTACTACTACTACTACTACTACTCTACTACTACTACTACTACTACTACTACTACTACTACTTACTACTACTACTACTACTACTACTACTACTTACTACTACTACTACTACTACTACTACGACTACGACTACTACTTACTACTACTACTACGACTACTACTACTACTACTACTACTACTACTACTACTACTACTACTACTACTACTACTACTACTACTACTACTACTACTACTACTACTACTACTACTACTACTACTACTACTACTACTACTACTACTACTACTACTACTACTACTACTACTACTACTACTACTACTACTATCACTACTACTACTACTACTACTAGTAAGACTACTACTACAAAGTTGCGCTCAACACGCATCAAGGTGGAACATTGTGTGGCCACTTTCTTCTGGGCGGGTATGCAACCCGTTAAGAGTTCCCCTTTTGTTCTTCAGCTAACAAAGTAAGCATCTACATATTACTACTAATTGACGGGCCAGCGCGGGCCGCAGTAACACGCATCGAGCCGCGCGTCAGGCCACAAAATCATGCAACGGGCCACACAAACACCCAACGGGCCATACGAACACGCGGTCGCGTGGCACAGGGGGGGGCGGGGGACATCGGGCCTGAATCGGCACACATCGCCGATGCATCGGCGACAGACTCTCGATAGCGAAACCTCACGTTCCTGACCAGGTCTGGGGGTTGGGGCGCCTAGACCCCGATCGGGGAGGAAGGGGCGATGGAGGATAGGATGGGGAGGGAAGCGAGCGAGAAAAGAGAGGGATGGAGGGAGGGGGAGAATGGCAAAAACGAGGGGAGGGGGCAGGGAGGTAGAAAGGCGGCGGGACAGCAGTGAGCTGTCTTTCCATGCCACCGGCAATCATACACCCTGTCTTATAGCATCGATCCTCCAGCGCAGAGCCCGGACAGAGGCACAAATAAAAGGTCTGTCGAAGCTTGGCAGGATGCTCTACCGTGCCCAGCGAGGCGCAAGACGAGGGGGCACGAGGAAGTGCCAGAGGTCCGAGGAATGGGCCGCGCATTCGGTCGGGCCTGTCCCTCTACAGGGGGATCTTGGACGAAAAACAAAACATACCCCCAAAAATATACAACATATGCCCAAAACTTCAAAAATAGCCGCCAGACTATTTCTTGACTATTTTTGAACATCCCTCCTGTAGAGGGACAGGCACGGCTTAAGGATAGCACCGCGGCCATCAGGCTGTCAGGCCGAGCGCCGGCAGAGGCGCGCCCGAACTCACCGCTGCACTGCAGAGGCCCCGTGGATCTCGCAGCACCGCGTTGCTGAAGCACAGGCCCATGGCCTCGTGGAGCTTCTCCGGCTCGACCCGCATCTGCACGCGGGCCAGGGGGTCGCCGAGCATGCCCTGGACGCAGCGCATCAGCTGAAGTGCCTCCGGGGAGACAAACAAAAAGCACGGATCCCTCTGCCCCCCGGAGCGCTCCCGGGGGCACACTCTGACCCAGGCTGTCGGACGGCGCACCCCGCCGAGGCGACGAGGGGGGCGCAGTGGTGTCATCGGTATCTCTTCCTCCTCGGAGCCTCGCTCGCGTCGAGCGACGGCTCGTCGCCCATGAGCACGGGGAGCAGCTCGCCCTCCACCACCTCGCAGGAGAGCCCAGAATCGAATCGACATGCCGGCTCGGCAATCGAAATACATCGGATCCGAAGAAAATCGACGGCCGAGTCGGGCACAGCCGAATCGGCGGAACAGTCGGCGGCCTAGCAGGCATCCTGAAAGATCGGAGCCTCGAATCTCGGCGCTGGACAAACCTCCCTTTCGCAGACCTCCCCTTAGTGAAAACGGCCTGCAAAAACGACGGCCGCGACGCCCTCTCGCGAACCGACAACGGCCGAGTCCTTCATCGACGTGTCAGGGCAGGAGGTCCGTCCACCCCCGAGCATCGGAGCCCGAAATCGCATCGGCTCGCAGCCGGGAAGCATCGAAATCGAAGCGGCGCGAAGCGGAGGGGTCGGCACGGCGCCCCGCCTCGCGGGCGCCCGCCGGCGGCGCCACGCCCTCCGACAGCAGGCGCACGAGCTGCGGCGCCCACTCCGCGGGCGGGCGGCCCGCCTCGCGCCGGGCGCGGCAGCGCGCCAGCTGCACGAAGAAGTAGAGGCGCCCCGAGGGCGCCAGCTCCTGGCGAGGGGCGTGCTCTCCACCACCTCCTCCTCGCCCTCCTCCTCCTCCTCCTCCTCCTCTTCCTCCTCCTCCTCCTCCTCCTCGTCCTCCTCCTCCTCCTCATCGCCCTCCTCCTCCTCCTCCTCCCCCTCCTCCTCCTCCTCCTCCTCCTCCTCCTCCTCGCCCTCCTCGTCCTCCTTCCCCCCTCCAACTTGTAATGGTGGTGGTAAAAAAAAACAGGCTCATCACCTGGCGGGCGGAGCGCATACACTCGGCCCGCATAGGAAGGCGCGGTGAGGATGCAAAGGGCCGTGGGCAGCGATCTCGAAGCTTGTCGAGCGGGGCGCGGCCAGCGAAAGCGGCCGAGAACGGACCCAGGAGGCAGGGATGCAAGGGTATACCCATAAGAAGGGTGCCCATCCTTACTCTGCGGGTCGACTGTACCCGCATCCGCGGCCTCGCTGGTCGGGCCCCAGGGCCGCGACCCCGCGGACACGGGGCGTCGCTTCGCGGACGCCCCACGCGGCACGCAGCCGTGCGGCCACATGCCCGCGGGATCGCGCCCAGGGGGGCAGCCTGCGAGAGCGCGGGTGCGGACACATTCGCCTCGCACAGCAGCGAGATGCTGCGCGGGTCACTGCATCGGCCGTGATTCCCGAAGCGGCGGCGTAGTGTCAGAATGGCTTCCGGATTGACTGGTAACGAAGGCGCTGCTGCGGCCACCGTCCCAGCGGGGTGGTCTGAAACCAGGAGGGGGCTGCTGGAACCACGCCTTGGGCAAGCTGAGGCGCTATGTTTAGAAAGCAGCGCACGGAAGCTGTGTATAGTCCCCATGGCGACCAATAGTTCGCCAAATCGCAAGCAAAGCGGACATGATGCATCTCACTCACATGGCGCTACTGGTCGCTGTTGGGCGCTCGTTGAGCGCTATTTGAACGCTACTTGGCGCTACCTGGCGCAGCTGAGCGCTAATGAGCGCTATTCGCCGATGTCCGCCACCGTGCCCCTTTTCGCGTTCAGGCGTGGAATGATGCCAGGGGCTGCCTGGCAGGATTTTCTCCTGTAATCTAAGAAGGGCCCCCCCCTCTACCAATGTACTAGCGGACTGATGCATGCATCGCCACTCCTTTCCGAGTCCACTTCTCTCGTGGCCGCTCAAGGATGGTGCGTTTCCAACGTGGCGGCGAACGCCCAAACCACCACTCCTTGCGTGGCCGCTCGAGGATAGTGCACTCCCCGCATGGCAGGTCAAACCTGGCTCATCATTCCATGTGCGCCTGCTCGGGGACTGTACTTCTCGAATGGCTGCTCACTCCTAGACATCTCATCCCGCGCACGCCCGCTCGAGGATCGAGTCCTTCCCGTATTGCCAAGCGCTCAAGACGGCGCGAGATGCCTCCGAGGGGACCCAACAGTGCCACAAGGGGACCCCGCACAGGGTCCGAAGAAGCTACAATCACTGAGCTCCCTTCGTTTTTGAATGGATTTTGCATTCTCTCCTCTTCGGGTTGCCATCAGCTCAAGACGGCCCAAGAAGCCTCCATGATGACCCCGAGGCAGCCTGAGAGGGCCACAAGAGGGTCCTACGCACCCAGGACGACAGAGTTCCCTCCTGAGGTAAAAATTGCGACGGGGAGTTCGCGAGATAACATCGGCGCCGTCAAGCAGCGGACGGCGTCTGGACGAGCTGCGTGCAGCAACCAGGAGGGGAGATATGGATTCATGTTGAGTGGGGCTGGCGCGCGGGAAAGTTGATGGGAGTGCACGAGACAGCGAAGGACTCATCTTGGATTCCAGGGTCCGCGGATCCGATTTGTCCCGACTCCCAATTTTACTTTAATCGTGCCAATTTTAAACGGGGTGGAAACTGGATCCACAGTAGAAGGTAGGACCGGAAGCGGATCCATAAAATCCGAAATCGGATCCGCGCGGACGGAAATCGGATCCACCGAAGCAGAGACGAAATCCACAAGTGGATCCGCGCGAACTGAATGCGATCCGACGGCGGTTGTCTCATACGCGCCTGTTCAAGACCGCAAACCGTCGCTCCCGGCCCGAGCGGAAAGCGCCTTCGCCCTGGGAATGTGTGGCCAACGAGGCACCAGGAGCTGGCCGCCAGACGGCCCGAGAGGGCCTCCCGTGGGCCCAAGACGGCGCCTGACCAGACTGACTTCCTACCAGACCACCCCAACCCAACCCGAAGACCCGAATTTCGGGTGGGGGGGTAAGGGTTCCACATGTGTTTTTGTCGATGTTTCCCGACCCCCCCCCACTGGAAATGGAGGGTAAATCTGAGCCTTCGGGTTGGGTTGGGGTGGTTTGGTGGGTGGTGACAGACTCTGCGGCGGCCCAGGGCGGCGTCAGAAGGGCAGCGCAACGGCCCGAGAGGGCGCCGAGGAATCGCCGAGGCTGCCTCACAGGAGGGCAAAGAAGCCGCCCCGTCCTCGTCGTCACCCTCGTCACCCTCGTTGTCCTCCTTACCAGAAGCCGCCCCGTCCTCGTTGTCACCCTCGTCATCCTCGTCGTCCTCCTTACCAGCAGCAGCAGCAGCAGCAGCAGCGGCAGCGGCATCGTTAGCTCTCCCGTGCCCGCAGGCACGAGTTGTCACTCGTGGCGGCCTCCCGCGCTCCTCGAACGGTCGCCACCCAAAAGTGCTGGGCTGGCACGGTGGCCGGCCTTGCCGCAGGCAGCTGGACACATTCAGCCCGAGAGGACCCGAAGCTTCCATGACTTACTGTCGAACTGTGCTGTTGTCTTTCCATGTCTCGGGTGTTGCCAGGAGTGCCCCTGGCCCAGGGTGCCCCCAGGATTCGCGGGGGAGCCCAGGCGGGCTCTGGAGCACCCCAGGGGCTCTGAACATGGGGCGCAAAGCTGGGGACACCTGGGGCCGGGGGCACTTCCAGCAACCCCCGCCTGTTCCCCGCTCGTGCGAGCTCCGCCAGCCGCCCCGCGGGCAGCCGCAGCGCGCCCGCCAGCCACTCCGGCGGGTAGAGCGGCTGGCCGCCGGGCCGCTCCAGGGGCGGGTCCCGGGCCGCGCCGCCCGGGGGCGCCAGCGCCGCCGCCAGCCGCTCCGGGCCCGTGGCCTCGTCCGCGATGTCGTCCAGCAGGCCCGAGACGAAGAAGCCGCGCCTTAGCTGCCCCGACGCGCAGCACGCATCCCGCTCTGGCGACCCAGGGCTCAGCACACACTTAGGTTTTGGCCACGCAAGTCCAGTGCAAGGCGTTCTGCAAAGCGTGGGCCGCCGCGTGCCGAAGCAGCACGCAGCGTGTGCAACCGGACGTCTCGAAAACGGCAGGTGTGCGCACAGACATCCCCACAGGCAGCCCTGGCTGGCCTCAACAGGCCCACCAAGTAGCCTGGGGCGGCCTCAATACCCCGACCCTAGGGCGCAGAGGGCCCCCAGGGGCGCCGCCTCAGGCGGCGACGGGGCGTTGAGACTGGCCTGGGCTCCGCGGGCGGGCCTGCTGAGGCCAGCTGGGCGGCCTTCCTAGGGGGGCTTCGGGCGCAACCCGAAGCCTCACCGCCCAAGCATGCGATGTAAAACGTAGGTGTTGCTTTTCAGCACGGGCGCGGGCAGCTAAGGACCGCGCGGCTCGCCGCCGCACTGCTCGGCGCGGCATGCCCAACGCAGGCACCCGAGCACGTCGCCGCGCTTCCGCTCGTCCTGGTCGGGGCCCCAATGCAGGACACCAAGCCGTCCAGTCGGCCAGGGAGCTCGGCGTATGTGTTAGATCTCCCCGCGGCCCCACCCGTGGGGCGCTGGAGCGTCTATACACCGAGCTCTCTCGCCGAGGTCCGTGGCACCGTCGCTGGCCGAACGACGCTGTGTACAAATGGAGCCCCTCCGATAGTCCTCCGCCCACCGACGGCAAGGGCTCACCCCAAGTCTCTCGCCGAGGCCGAGCTCGACCACCAGCGTGATTGCCGCCTCCCTGTCCTCGTCGCCGGGCGCGTTCGTGCAGTACTCGTTCGCCGTTTCCTCCAGAGCCTCGCGCGCAGCTTCGGAGGACCCCGACCGCAGGTAGTCCACCGCGCACCGGACGTGCTCCCGCGGGCCTCGGCGCAGCTCCTTGGAATGGGCCATCAGGTGCACGTCGCGTGGCGGCACTCTGCTCTCGCCTGTAGAAACATTGCATGGGCATAGATGAACATTCGAGGGTCCGCGCGGACTTCTCGGATCGGCGCTGGACCCCCCTCCATGGCGTGCCGAGTGCCCCAGGGGCGGCGCAGGAGGCGCCGCCAGGGGGCTCAGCGCCGATCCGAGAAACCCGCGCGGAGATCGGGAAACTTATGCATTGTTGTACTTCGTTCTCTCTTCGAGCCTGAGATTTCCAGCGCCAGAGGCACCCGGTTCGCAAAGTACAAGACGTCCACCAGGTGCACCACGAAGAACGACGGGAAGCGCTCGGGCATGCGGCCGAGCAGCGTAAGCAGGTCGGGCACGTCGAGCCTGAGCACCGCCAGGAACACCCGGTCGACGTCGTCGATCTCCTCATCGACCTGCCGGAAGGCCACCTCCTGCAGCAGGTCCGAGAGGTCCGCCCTCCGCAGGTCCGGGAAGATCCACGCGTGCGAGTAGACCACGTCCTCCACCCACGTGCGGCGGTGCTCGAACGACACGTCCTTCTCTGGTGACTCTTCGGGCTGCGCACCACCGACATCCCCCCAAGATAACCCCAGCTGGCATCAACGGGCCCAGATTTTGGACGCCCGAAATGGGCACGTAAAGAATGCGTACAATGCCCAACAAATGTTGTCCCACACCAACAGCGGCCGCTGTTGGGCAGGCGGCCTCCTGTCTCGAACGGACACAGGCCGCGGCGGCGCGGACAGCGAGTCCTGCTCACAATGACCAGGAACTGCTGTTGGGCAGTGTACTAATTCTTTCCGTACCCATTTCGGGCGTCCAGACAGATAGCCTAGGGCGGTCTCAGCGCCCCGACAGTGGGGCGCGGAGCGCCCTCTAGAAGGCGGCGCCAGGGCGTTGAGACCGCCCAGGCTCGTCGGGTGGGGCCTGTCGAGGCCAGCTTGGCCTACCTGGGGGGACTTCGTGCGTGACCCGAGGCCTCACGAAAATTACCACCCAGGCATGCGACGTCCTGCACGGCTTCCCCCGGGGCCGTAGGCGACCCGAGGAGGAGGACGAGGAGGAGGAGGAAGAGGCGGAGATGGAGGAGGAGGAGGAGAAGGAGCAGGAGGAGGAGGAGGAGGAGGAGCAGGAGGAGGAGGAGCAGGAGGAGGATTAGCAGGGGAGGAGCAGGAGGAGGAGGAGGAGCAGAAGGAGGAGTAGGTGGAGGAGGAGGAGCAGATGAAGGAGGAAGAGGGGGAAGAGGAGGTGGAGGAGGAGGAGATCGAGGAGGAGGAAGAGGAGGAGGGGGAGGAGATGGAGGAGTAGGTGGAGGAGGATAAGGTGGAGGAGGGGGAGATGGAGGAGGGGGAGATGGAGAGGGTGGACGAGGATGAGGAGGAGGAGGAGGAGGGAGGAGGAGGAGGAGGAGGAGGGAGGGAGGGGAGGGGGAGGAGGAGGAGGGGGAGGAGGGGAGGAAACAGGGAGGAGGAGGAGGAGGAGGAGGAGGAGGAGGAGGAGGAGGAGGAGGAGAACGGGTCGCCTAAGCCCTTCGGAGAAACCCTCCACCACGCAATTACCACCCAGACATGCGACGTCCAGATTTCTCAGATGCGAGGCCCCCCGGGCCCCGGCAACTTCTTCACCGCGAGCAACGGCCTGGTGGCCCCGGGGCCCGGCAAGGGTTCTCGGAGGCCGCAGACCCCCCATGGAGCCTCCCGTCGCGATGCATTTTCTTCACGACGCGAGCATGTCTCAGCATCCTTCTTCTGGTCGAACTCGTCGCGAGAGGACCCCGCATAGATCCGCAGCAGCTGCACCGTGGGGTGCGCCTCTGGAGCCCGGCGCAGGAGCTCCCGCGCCGCCTCGCGGATGTCCTTCACGGCCTGGCGCCACTCGGCCATGCTGGCCCGCGCCTGGTCGATCTGTCTACTTTTCGGCGCACTCCTTTGTGTTGTTCAATGTGTGGTTGCTCGTGTCTGTGCCTCCTCTCCTCCCTCCTCCCTTTCCTCCTCTCATCCCTCCTTGCCTCCCTCCTGGCAGCCGCGAGCTCGCGGAGGTGAGCCGACGTGCTCGCGAGGGTGAAACCGCGCATGGTTTCTGGACTGAATGTCGGAAGAGAAGGACGCTGAATTTCGGAATGCTGGCCGAGGGGAAGACCCCGACGCTGCACCATCATGCACACATACCACTTGCACTCTGCAGCAAGCATCGGGACAAGGTCTGGGACATAGAATGCGGCATGGGCTGAAATGGCCAGAGCGGCCAACTCAGCAAATCCATCACCGCACCCGGAAGAAGAGAGGAGCGGGAGGAGGAGGAGGAGGTGGAGGAGGAGGAGCAGGAGGAGGAGGAGGAGGAGGAGGAGCACGAGGCGAACGCTACAGGCTTGCACCTAGAGTCCGCTCAACGCCAACAAAACAGGAGGATGAGCGGGAGGAGGAGGAGGAGGAGGAGGAGGAGGAGGAGGAGAAGGAGGCGGAGGAGGAGGAGGAGGAGAAGGAGGAGGATGAGGAGACGCAAGACGCTACAATTCTAGCATCAAAGGGAGGAGAAGGAGGACGAAGAGGAAGACTGTGACCGCGCCTGGTCCATCTGCTGCAGCGAGGGGTGCTCCCGTAGGAAGCTGCAGAAGCTGGCCACGTGCGGGTCGGAGGCTTCCGCAGACCTCTGCAGCAGCGACAGCACCTCCAGGAGAACAGAAACATGTATAATCTTCAGCGATCGCCTTTCTCTCGGCGGCGAGAGCGAGGGCGGGGGAAGCGAGATGGAGGAAGTCTTCTCGCAAGACGGCGGGTCGTCTCAGAAGCGATCCGGCATTCTGAAAAGTGGTTGTGTCTTCTGACTACCTACCAGAGCACCCCACCCCAACCCGAAGACGCGAATCGCGAGTTGGGGGGGTACGGGTTCCACACAAATATATATATATACACACACACATATGTGTTTTTCTCCGTATGTTCCCCTCCCCCCTCCCCCCACTGGAAATGGAGGGCACATTGAGGCCGTCGGGTTGTTCTGGGGTGGTTGGGCGGATGGTGATCTTCGGGGAAGGCCTGGACAACTTCACGGAAGGCCCCGGGGCACTTCCGAGCCTTCTGCGAAGGGCCACCCCGTCGCGCGCGCGTCACTCCCCGGGGCTGGACCCCCGTCCTCGGAGGTCCCCAGCAGCTCCCGACCCCCCGGGGCTCGCCCCCGAGGCTCGGAGGTCGAGGTCTCCCCTCTGGGCCTGCCGCGGACCCTCGCGGATGTCTCGCGTCTTGGGATGCTTTCCGTGGGTCCTGGGCCCGGCGTGCCCCCTCCTCCTCCTCCTCCTCCTCCTCCTCCCTCCTCCTCCTCCTCCACCTCCTCCTCTGCTGTGGGGGAGAGAAGCTGCATGAGCATAAAACTCTCTCGGAGGTCCGCGCGGAGCTCTTCGACCAGCGACCAGCGCCCAGCGCTGAGCCCCCCCCCCCCCCCCTGGCGAGCGGAGCGCGCCAGGGACGGTGCAGGAGGCGCCGCAAGGGCGTCACCGCGCCGATCCAAGAAATCCGCGAGGAGGTCCGACACTTTCATGTTTATCCTTGTTCTCGGCGGCGAGCGAGGGGGCGAAGTGCGAATGACCAGGTCTGCTCAGAAGACTCGGATGGCCCCCCGGCCTTCTGGTAAGTTGTCTGAGCCTTCCCCGAAGACAGAACAGACTTCTCAGCAGGCGCGAGGGCTTCTGAGAAGTCACGCCGCCTTCGGAGAAGGTCTTCGCCCTTTCAGGTCCCCTCCCCCCCCTCGCTCGCAGGGACGAGGGTTGTATTCCTCGAGCCTCGTCCCTGCGATCAGAGAGGGCCAGGCGCACGAGGGAGGTCCAGAACTCGGAGTCCGACCGGCTCCGCGCCTCGGGGTCCTCGGACCACCGCTGCGCGCCCTGCCACCACTCGGCCAGCTCCTCCTCCAGGTAGTGCCGGTTGTACCTCGTCGGGGGGCTTCACGGCTTCTGCTGTCCCTCGACTCGCGCTGGAGCGTCCACGGTCTGCTCCAGAGTTCTGTGAAGATCTCCTGGTGTGTTTGAATATGTCTGAATGTTACCAGAGAAAAACTCCAATCAGGGCAATAGGGCTAGGGGGCGATAGGGATATAACGCTATTGAGCTATAGGGCTATAGAGCTATAGAGGGTTTTAGGGCTATAGGGCTATTGGGCTATAGGGCTATATAGGGCACTAGCGCACACCCGGGCACCGCCGGGCACGCACGGGCCACCCGGGCACCCGGGCACCCCCGGGCCCCGGGCACCCCCGGGCACCCGGGCACCCCCGGGCCCCGGGCAGCCCCCGGCACCCGGGCACCCGGGCGTGCAGCGAAAATCGGCGACAAACCTAACCTAACCATATGAATCCGCTAGGACCCCTACAGAGGCAAGCTCTGATTGGGGAATACCTCGATCTGTCTGGATGTGCCAGAATTTGTCTGAATGATCGGCTTCCCCCAAGCTTGATGCCGCAAGCCGATTGCAGAAACGTCGTAAAACCCTTAGGGAGTACCAGTGGAGGATCCGCCCCGCGGAGGGGGCGGAGCTCGTCGCCACCACCTGGACCAGTTCGAGCACCGCGAGGCAGAAGCAGAGAGTGTCGTGCTCGGCGTGGACCGCCTCGTCGACGTCCCACTTGTCCCTGCTTTGCCACAAAGGGAAACAGTCTGGAAAAAGTAGGGAAAAACGGACCCCGTGGCTCTGGCCCATGTAACGGGAGGCATGGCGATCCCAATCCCCGACCGTCGTGGGGTTTTCGGATGGACCGCAAATGTAATTTGAGCCCAAGCTCGGGGATACAAGACGGGGGGGCGTCCACTCGAGACATGGGTGCGTCCGAATATTTCCTGATCTTCCCCCCGTATCTGAGCGGCCTAATCGTGTGCGGTTTGCTTACTCTGGGTTTCGACATTTGGTCGAAGGGTGGGGGAGGGGGGGCTCTAGGTCTGGCCCTGTGCTTAGTCCTTCTGCTTTCACCTGTCGCGCAAGCAGACCGGGGGGGGGGGGTCCTGACCGGTCCCCAGAAGCAGCCACCCAAAGCAGCCAAGATCTGGTCTTCGGCGGGGGGGGGGGGGAGGAGGGAGCCAGGGGGCCCGCGTCGATCGACGAAACGATGCACAAAAAAACGGCCTCGTGTCTGAGGCTGGACTCGAGAACTGGGTGCGAGAACTCGCCTGCGCGCAGGGGCGCCAGAGTCCGCGGCCATCGGAAGAAACTTCCCCCCGCAGCAGGAAGCCGGCGCCGCCTCGTTCGGCGCCATAGCGATCCGATGTTGCACGGAAGCGGGGCCCGTCGCCAGTTCACGCGCCTGGTCCATGATCGCATCTCCTCGAAAAGGGGGTCCTGCTCTGGACGCCCAGGCTTCCTCTGGACCCCCCGGGCCTCCCGAGCTGCGGTTTGACGGCCCCTGGGGCCAGGAGAGAGGCCCCCCGGGAGGCCGCAAGAGGGACGGACACCTCACGGCAGCTTTCCTTCGGGACCAGTCCCTTCACCTCGCCATCTCTCGGACGCCCATGCCTCGTGCATTGCTCGGCTTCGCCCCTGTATTTTTCGCAAGATGATCCAAACTGCTCCCTGATGGTTCTTGCCGCGAGAAGATGCACACGTCCGAGCGATGCCAAGGCACGGCGAGAAGGAACTCTGGGGGGTCAAGAGCTGCCCGCAGCCTGCACCGGAGGGCGTTCTGGCAAGCAGTGCACGGGGAGCTCAGACACGCTGGTACTCAGCCGCCCAAGCTCGCTGATATCAGGCCACTCCCACTCAGGCTCACTCGCACTCAGGACCACTCACATCCGGGGGGCCAGACGAACACAAACTCCTTCTCCAGCGACGCAGACAGACTCTCGCCATCGCTCGGACGTCCATTCCATGTCTTTTTCGGTTTCGTGCGTGGCTTTTTCGCCTAATAATCAAGGATGCTCCTCGATGGTCCTCGCCGAAGAAAAAATGCACACGTCCGAGCGATGCCAAGGACTCGCGCACGCTGGGGCTCACCCCGTCCTCGGGCGCTCACAGGGGGGAGCGCCCTTGCGACTTGCTGCCCCGCCGAGCGGTTTTTCGATCCGCGGCCCCAGAGCTCTCGATCGCTCCCCCTGGGGCGGCCATCATCCCCGATCCACTTTGACTTGATGGCCCGGGAGCCCAGCAATGGCCCCGCGAGGCCAAGCTCGAGGATCAAGGCACGCCATGCTCGGGGATCTTCTGACCGGGGTCAATCCAGACCCGGGTCAGCCAGGCCTTGCAAGATCCTGCAAGATCCTGCATCTAAACCCGGGTCAATTCTAAGGATCCTGCAAGATCCTGCACCCAAACCCTGGTCAATACGACCCTGGCCCGGCAGGATCCTGCAAGATCTGGCGCTCTGGCTGACCCCCGTGTGCATTGACCCTCGACGTGCCTCAATTACTTCAGCACCGGGCCCCAGAAAGCCGCACCGTTTCCCCCTGCTCTGCTTCCCACCCCGAGCGGCTCTTTGACGGTCCCTGGGCCCGACAAGGGCCCCGCAGAGGCCGCGCGCCGCAGAGCACAGGCCGTCGCGATGTTTCCACGGCGCGAGCACGCCTGGAGGCCTCCCAGACGGTGTCGGAGCAGATGGGGTCAGAGGATCGCGCCGCATCGCGATACATCGGCGATGCATCGGCGAGGCATCGTCGACGTCGGCGAGGCATCGGCGACGTCGCCGTGGCGCAGATCAGGCTGCACATCGAGCCACATCGGCGATGCATCGGCGATGCGGCGCGACCCTCCGACCCCATGTGCTCCGACCCCGTCTAAGAGGCCAAGAATGTCTGAATAACAACGTCCGCTGGAGCGCCCGGGCTTGACTCCCCGCGGACCTGCGGAGGTCGTCGCGGGCCAGCCTCAGCTCCCGGGCGAGGGTCTCGCAGTAGCCGCCCAAGAGGTCCTCGGCGAGCCCCGCCTCCAGGGGCGCCCGCGAGGCCAGCGTGCGCTCCTGGGGCGTCGTCGTCGCCGTCGTCCGTCGGGCGTCGTCTTCTTCGTCGCCGTCGTCGTCCGCCGTCGTCGTCGCCGCCGTCGTCCGTCGTCGTCGTCGTCGCCGTCGTCGCCGTCGTCGTCTGGCGAAGTCGTCATCGCCGTCGCCGTCGACGTCGTCGCCGTCGTCGTCGTCGCCGTCGTCGTCGTCGTCCGTCGTCGTCCGTCGTCGGTGGGGCGGCGCGCAGCGGCGCCCGAAGGCAAGAGCCTCGCCCGCTGGAAGCCGTCGCGGAGGCTGGAGCGGGGGCGCGCTCGGAGCCGCCAGATTGAGCCCCGCGTCGTGAGGGGCAACGCCGGAGGGGGGCAGGCCGAAGGTTAGGGGGCAACTACGGGGAGGTCTTCTGCGAAGCGCGGATTATCCATATCCACCGCCTGGGAACCGACGTCCTGGTGCCCCAGCGGGCGGTGGATATGGGTATGGATATGGATATATATATGTATATATATATACATATATATACATATATATACATGTCTATCTATATATATATATATATATAGGGGGGGGCGGGGGCCCGAATATGTCCATATCGACCGCCTGCCGAGGTCCCCGAAAACTGATCCTCCAGGCGGTGGTCGGATCTTCGTCGGAAGGGCTAAGGAGGACGAATCCCCCACTGGAGGGCTGTTGCGCCGGAGTGGGCCTCGGATTAAGCGGGATTCAGCCAGACTATCCCGGGATTGAGAGAGGCACTTGGCGCCGGATCAGGCGGGAGTGAGCCGGAGGAAGCCGGATCTCGGACCACGGCAAACTCTGAGCTTAAGGTCAGATGTTGCCCTGGTCCGACAGGGCAAAATCTGAGGGTCGAGCCCTGCGTCCGCTCGACCTGGGGTCGAGCGGAAGCAGCTCCTGGGAGGTCAATTGACCTCCCAGGAGCTGCATCCGCACGAGGGGGGGGGGGGGAGCGCGGAGCTCGGGGTCGGCGCGGGGCGACCCCCGAGAGCGAGGCCCCGCACGCTGCGGGGCGGGGGCGGTGAGGCCCGCTGCGGCGAGCAGTGGGCGACTGGGGTTAAGCCGGGCCTGTCCCCCTACAGGGGGATCTTCGACGACAAATTAAAGATACCCTACAAATAACAAAAAGTTAATCCAAAAATAATATGGGGACTATTTTTTGAGTATTGTTTGACCTTTTGGGGGCATTTTTGGTGTCTTTATTACTTTCTTCAAAAATCCCCCTGTAGGGGGACACGCCCGACAAGTGACTGGGGGGGTGGGTCGGTGCGCCCGCGCCTGGACCCAGGAGGCCTGGGGGCACACAAGCAAGTAGGCGCAGGTGGACGCACTGCATATTTGCTGGGGCTTCGTCTTCCTCCCCCGCTTCCCAGGGTTTCCCACACGTTCCCGGGAATCCACGTTTCTCTGTGCCTGTGCGTGTGAGTGCGTGTGGTGTGTGTGTGTGTGTGTGTGTGAGCGTGTTGTGCTGTGTGTTGTGTGTCGTATCGTGTGTTGTGTGTCGTGTGCTGTGTGTTGTGTGTGGTGTGTTCTGTGGTCTGTGTTCTGTGTTGTGTAGTGCGTCTTGTGTGTGTGTGTGTGTCTGTGTTGTGCTGTGCTGTGCTGTGTTGTGCTGTGTTGTGTTGTGTTGTGGCGTGTTGTGGGGTGTGTGTGCGTCTGTGTGTTCTCCCCTCCCCTGACCCGATTCCCCCCCCAGCGTTGCCCCCTGCCGCTGTGTGGGCGGAGGCGAGCCGAGCAGGGCGGCCGCAGGCGGGCCGTGCGCGGCGGGCGGGCAGAAGACGCCCAGCGTGGCGGAACCCCCCTCCGCGGTGGAGCGGCCGGGCCTCGTGCTCGTGCGCCGCGCGGCGGCGTCGCGCAGGCCTGGCGCGAAGTAGTAGGGGGAAGGCAGGTGCCCTTTTCGGGCCCCGCAGGCCCTGCTGGGCCCGAGAGGGCCCCTCGAGGGGCCCTGGAGGGCCGCATTTTCGGCAGCCCTCGCTGCCCCCCCCCATCTACGCAGGAGGACCCAGACCCCTCCGGCGGCCTGATTGTTCCGTCGCGGCGGTCCACCTTGTCTTCGGCCGTTGCGGGGCCGCTCTCGCAGGCCCCAGAAGAACAGAGACGGATCGAGGAAACACACATTTTTGGATCTGCGGGGCGAGAAGGAACCTCTTCCGCTAAAAGCTGGGCGGGCCACGCACAGCTTGAATTAGGGAGACAGGGCACAGGAAGGCGGGGCCTCAGGGACGAGGACACACACACACACCAGCAGTGATAGGGTCGGGAGCCCTGGGGCAGCGGGTGGAAAAAAATCGCTGCGCCACTCGCCAGGCGGGATATCCACCGCGTTGGGCTTCGGGGCGCGCGACCCCCCCGCGAGTGGCGCGGGCAGCGCCAGCTTTCGAGCGGCCACGAGGGCGTCTATAAGAAAGCCAAGGGGGCATTCTTCTTGGCCGCGGAGGCGCTACCTTAGAAGCCTCCGCGGCCCGTCTGGAAAACCCTCTGCCTTCCAGGAAGCCCGCCGCCTCCCCAGAAGGCCACCGCCCTCGCGCCACCCCCAAACGGCGCCGCCTCCTCGGAAGGCCACCGCCCGCGCGTGGCCCCTCAGTGCCGCCTTCTCGGAAAGACACCACCCTCGCGTCACCCCTAAGCGCCGCCTTCTCGGAAGGACACCGCCCTCGCACTACCCCCAAGAGCCGCCTTTACAGAAGGCCACCGCCCTCGCGCCACCCCCAAGAGCCGCCGTTTCAGGTCACCGCCCTCGCGCCAACCCCAAGTGCGCACCGCTAATATCTTGGAGCCGATGTTACCGGACCTCGGAAGGCGGTGGGTATGGATACGCAGAAAAGAAAGCAACAACCACCGCAAGTGAGATCCAATTGGGGGTGGACCCATCTATGGGCGGTGGCACGCCTGAGCGTCATCGGGTGTTGAGCGACGCCCAGGCGTGCCACCACCCAGGGGTGTGTCCATCTCGATGGACTCCCGGTGGCGACGGCCTAAGGAACGGAAGAATATGCAATTATTTCTACATTGATTTCTTCGGTGCCCCCTCGCTTGGATCCGTCCCTAGATGGCTTGATCCAAAAATCATCGCCTGGTTCACCGACGCCTTGCCCGTCGCCTCCAGGGGTTGCACAGTCTATGCGTTCGCTTGGGCGGGAGACGGGGTCGGGGAAAGTAGTTTCTGGGCCCTTTCGAGTTTGCGTGGGCGAGTGCCATGTGAACTATTTCCGCCGCTTTGTTTTTGCAGGCCCTGTGCGCGCAAGTTTTGTGGCATGTATTGTGTGTTCTGACCAGATAAACAACTTTCTCGGGTCCATGCTCGGAAGGCCCCCAGGACGTTTCCTGATCGAGCTGTGGCGGGGCGACGCCCTGGGATGAGCGGGGGGGCCCTAGGATCGTCGCCCGCGGGTCTTCCGGCCACGTTCCACCCCCTGGAGCGCGGGCGGAAGACCCGCTGCGCGGGGCGAAGTAGAAGGCCGCGCCGAGGGCAGGCGGAGCGACATCAGGGAGGGGCAGGGCGAAGGTTCATCCCCCCGTCCAGAAGTTGACCTCGATGTCTTTCCTCTGTCCTGATCGGTTGCTGCCCCTCCTCTGCCACACGCCCGGGCCCCGGGCCGCGCGGCAGAGGGCTTCGTGGCGCCACGGGTGCGGAGTGGGCAGGGGCAGGGAGCGGCCGCGGAGGGAGGCCACGAGGAGACAACGCCAGGACGAGGATGGAAGCGGGCGAGGAGTTATGGAGAGTCTCTGGAGCTCCAGCGGCTCTGGAGTCTATGGCTCGGGCGCCGCGGCCTTCTCAGAGCGTTCCGGAACCCTCCGAGAGCGCTCTGGAACGCTCTGGAACGGGCTTATCCTCGTCCCAGCCCCGTCCCGCAATGCGCGGCCCCAGAGGTCGGGACCCGTTCCCCGGGGGCCAGTTCCTCGCCTCGGACACTCTTCTGCATGATGGCCCCGCAGGACCCTTGCAAAGGTCCCCAGAGGCCGAAATCGAAATGGCGGGTGGGCAAGAGTTCAAGCTCAAGCAATCGCAAGCAGAATCGGGCGAAACTCTGCGCCAGCTGATCGGGGCAGGGGGGACGATATCAAACTCTCTTGTTTTGCGTGCGCCTAGCCTGTCTGGGCATGCTTCAGTCGAGAACTCTCCGACTAGACACCCTGAGCCAAGGAAGCATACGCAAGGCCCTGTGGTAACTCATGGGAGCCTACCATACCATCTTGTTGGCTCTTGCGAATCGACGCTAATCGACGCTAATCGTCGCTAAATCGACCCTCATCGACGCAGATTGTGCGCATTGTCGTCGACCACCACACGATAGCGCACCCTAACGCACTCTACAGACGGAGCTACGAGGATATGCGATGCTCTATCTTTCCAAAAAAAAAAAACGCCATAAACAGAAACTTTTGGCGCTCCGCGCGGCTTTCTTGGATCTGTGCTCGACCCCCCTCCCCAGCGCGCGGAGCGCGCCAGGGGCGGCGCTCGTAGAGCGCCAGTGGGCTCAGCGCGGATCCAAGAAATCCGCGCGGAGCGCCACAAGCGTAAGTTTATGGTTTTTGTTTCTCTCTTCGACCTTTGCAGCCGAAGGAGGGGAATCTTCTTTGACTTTTGCTCTTTTTCCTGTGTCTTTGCTTTTCTCTTCGACCTTTGCCACTGGAGGAGGGGAAGCGCTCCCCGCCCTCGGGTCCTGCACGGCCCTGGCCTGCAGCTGGAACCCGCAGAACACGCCGTGGAGCCTCTCCACCAGGGACCGGCCCGCGCCGGCGGCTGCCGCCGGCGGGGCCGCCATGGCGCCCACGCGGCGCCCGTTCCGCCTGCCCTGGCGATACGCAGAAGGCGCAGGCCCTGATCCTCCAGGAGGCCAAGGCAGATATCACAATGACAGGTTGGGGTCATGATATGTCATACACATACATGCGCGCACACACACACACATACACAAACGCACTCATGTAGTTGTTTTAGTGCCTTTGTATGTTTTCCATATATAAAAAGAGGTATGCGAATAGGTCGATGAAGATGTGTCTGTGTGTGCGTAGATATATATATATATATATATATATATATACATGATATATAATAATATATATATATATATAATATATATAGATCTATCGTATGTCGGTGTACGGGGGGCCGGCATACCCTCCTGAATTCCCCCCTCCCCCCTCTCGTGTTCGGCACCTGCAGAGATCTGGACCCCCTCCAGGGCCTGCCAGGCCTCCCGCGCTTCACCCTGGCGGCTCCGAACAGAGTGGCCCCGCAGGGCCGAATGACGCCCCAAGAGCGGTCCAAGACCACTCACGATGACCTCAAGACAGCCCAAGAAGGGGGGGGCACAGGAGGCCCCTCAAGACGGCCCCAAGGGATCAAAACCGCCCCATCCCCTTTGGAAACCGCACGCTCTTGCAATATTCATTTCCTGGGCCATCACAGCGTCCAAGATGGCACAAGATGCCCCCAAGATCGCCCCAACACGGCCCAAGAGGCCCCCCCAAAAGGCCCCAGGACTGTCCAATATAGCCCCAAGACGGCCTCCAATGCTGACAAGACGGCCTCCAAAACGGATAGAATGGCCCCAAGACGAACTGACATTGCCTGCAAGGCGGCCCAAAGGGTCCAAGATGCATCCAATTTCGTCCACGATGCCTCCAAGACGGCCAAAGAGGGCCCCAGGGCGGCCCAATATTGTTTCAAGACGGCCCGAGAGGCCCCCAAGACAGCCCAAAACGCCTCCAGGAGTGGCAGACGAGGGACAAATCATAGAAGTGTTATGGGTCTTGAACGAAGTTGGCGTTCTCGCCTTTCTCGGACTCACACCGTCCATAGTGGCCCAGGAGGCCTCCGACATCGGATCAAGCCAGCCCAAGATGCTCCCAATAGAATCCCAAAACGGCCCAAGAAGACCCCACAGTGGCCGAAGACGGCCTGAAACGGCATCTGATGTCCAGAGGCCTCCAGAGGTCCTCGAAGGCACCTGGAAGACTTCGCCTGGTACTTGGACCTCAAACATCCATGAGGCCTAAACTGCCTGGGAAAGGTAATGCATTTTTGTTCGTAAATTTGTTTGTTTGAACAACTTTAAACTTTGTTGTCGTTTTCGGCCTCAGGGGTCGATTCCGGGCCCCAGGACCGCCGTCAATAACGGACCCAGGACAAAAAGTACCCCCAGGGAACTCCCCAGGACGATTTGTCCAAATGACCTGTAAGTTGCATCAGTCCTGTGTGTGTGTGATCTCCATGAGCCCCGTCAGCTGCGGAGGCGGATGGACGGGGAGGCACACGGCGTAGAGGAGGAGAAGGAGGAAGAGGAAGAGGAGCAGAATGAGGAATAGCATGCGGAGGAGGGTGGGGAAATGTTGTCGTCGCCATCGTCGTCGTCGTCGTCGTCGTCGTCGTCGTCGTCGTCGTCGATCGGCTCATCCACGCTCGCGACTCCATCGCTCCAAGACAGCCGGAGAGCGTCCCCGGAACCCTGTAAGGCCGCCCGGGATGCCCCCCGCCAGGCCCCCAAATCCTCTCTCCTCCTCTTCCTCCCCCTCCCCCTCCTCCTCCTCCCTCCTCCCTCCTCCCTCCTCCCTCCTCCTCTTCCTCCCCCCTCCTCCTCCTCCTCCTCCTCCTCCTCCTCCTCCTCCTCCTCCTCCTCCTCCTCCTCGACGGCCGACCGGACCCCCGTCCGTCCACGAGCCCGCTCCGCCAGCGGGGCCACAGGAGGCTTCCCAAGGAGTGCCCGACGAGCGGCCCCCCCCCCCGCCCCCCAAAAAGCACCGAGAGGTCCCCAGCAAGGCTCTCCAAAGTGGACAAGAAGACTCCCGACAGGCCTCCCACGAGGCATTAAAGAACTGATCAAGGAGGCCTCCAGCATACGACCAGGTCGCCAGCAGGGCCACAAGAGGCTCCCAAGGAGTGCCCGACGGGCGCCCCCCCCGCCCCCCCAAAAAGCACCGCGAGGTCCCCAGCAAGGCTCTCCAAGGTCGACACGAAGACTCCCGACAGGCCTCCCATGAGCCGGGTCGGGCGAAAGGGGGGGATAGCAAAGGGGGGGGGTGAGAATCAGCTCACGTAGCTGATTTTCCCGGTGCCTCCCGGCGCCAGAGGCGGCTATGTATGGAGGAATGGGCCCCTCGGTGAGGCCGAAACCAGCTGCATGCAGCAAATTTCGTACCCCCCCCTTTCCCAATCTCCCCCTTTCGCCCGGCCCGAATGAGGCACCAAACAGCTGATCAAGGAGGCCTCCAGCATACGACCAGGCGCGGCGGCGGGCCTGACCAAGTGCCATTCCACATGCACATGCACATATGCATGCACATAGATGCTTGCATGTACGCGTTCTGCGGGGGTCGCGAGATGGATTGCCGGTTCGAGGTGAGCATCTAGCAACAGCTTTTGACCAGAATGGCCCGAGCATGTGACACTGTACTGGGCCATTAGCAACTTGTGATTCGAGTTCCTTGGGCGCGGCTGGTACCTAAGTTCGCGTGAAGCGCGCGTGGGGGCCGGGCCCGGGGGCCCAGGGGCCACGACCCCTACTACAAGTGGGGGGACCAGGCCGCCCGGGGCGGCCTGCGGCCTAGTGACCCCGAAGGCGGCCCAGAATGCCTCCAAGACATCCCAAGATCGCCCAATGGCGCTCCAAGATGCCCTCGGAGATGCCTACGATGGCCCAAGATTGCCCGAAGACGGTCCACGATGGCCTCAAGATGGGTCAATAGGCCCCCAAGACTGCCGAAGAGGACTCGACGAAGCCAAACACATGAATGCGCCATTTGTTTTTGCAATGATTTTGACGTTCTCTTTTTTTTCCTGCTTCCGACCGCCCAAGGCGACACAAGAGGCTTCCGACATTGCCCCAAAATAGCCCAAGTGGTCCCCGAGAGGGCCCCAAGACGACCAACGAGGACCCTAAGATTGCCAACGACGCCCCCGAAGACCCGAAAACGGCCCAAGACGGTCAAATATGGCTTCAAATTGGTCCTCGCCGATTGAAAATGGCATCCAAGACGCTCCAAGAGGGTCGAAGAGGCCTCCAAGTTCGTCCGCTATGCCTTCAAGACGGTCAAGATGGCCCGAAGACTGCCCAAGGGGGCTTCAAGACGGCTCGAGAAGCCGCCGATACCACCCTAGAGCCCTGCAAGAGGCCTTCCCAGATGACCCGACGAGGCGACAATCATTGATCTTCAATTGTTCAGCAACGAAGTCGGCGTTCTCGGTTTCCGGCCGCCTGGGGCAGTCGGAAACCGAGATCTCCCCAAAACAAAACAAGGGCCCCCCCAGAGGGCCCCGATACGGCCCACGACGATATCGAGGTGGCCCAACACGGGCGGCCTGAAGATGGCCTTCAAGACGGCCAAGGTGCCTCCAGTACGGATACGGTGGCCTTTAAGCTGGCCCCCAAGATGGCCGAAGAGGCCTCCAAGAGGCCCTTCAGGAGGACCCGACGAAGCCAAAAACATTGATTATCCAGTTGTTTTTCACTGATCTTAGCATGCTCGCCTTTTTCTCCTTCCGACCACCCAATGTGATCAAAGAGGCCTCCAACATTGGCCCCAGACAGCCCGATTGGCCCCTCAAGAGAGCACCAAGAGGGCCCCAAGACGGCTCAAGAGAACCCGAGGATGGCCCAAAATGCCCCCAGGACGGCCCCAAGACGGTCAAATATGGCTCCAATTTCGTTCTCGTCGATTGACGTTGGCGTCCAAGACGCCCCAAGAGGGTCGAAGATGCCTCCAAGTTCGCCCGCTCTGCATCGAGAATCGCCCACGATGGCCCGAAGACGGCCCAAGATAGCTTCACGACGGCACACAAGGCCCAGGCCTCCAAGAGACCCCCCAGGAGAGCCGGGTGAGGCCCAAATCATGGATTCCCTGTATGGTGTTGAAGGATTTCGGCGTGCCCGGCTGCCGACCGCCCAAAGCGGCTCAAGAGCTCCTTTCGACCGCCCGAAGAGAGCCTAGAAGGACCCCAAGAGAGGATCAATCCGAGCCCTCTGAGGGTACCAAAGAAAAATACAAGAAACCAGCCACGCAGTCTATCGGCACTCTAACACGCCACTGCCGTTCAAGCAGGGCGACGGAGTCCTGAACGTATTGATTACTGTGTCAGCGCCTTGTAGCATTGCTCGTGTCTCGTTTCCGTACGATTTCAGGAACGCTCCAGAGGAGCTAGAGAACCCACAACAGGGGCTCACAATGACCCAACATGGCCCCACAGATGGCCCTCGACAGCCCCAGTGGGCCACATAAAGTCTACAGGACGATTTCTGAAGTTCAGTACGGCACACGAGGGCCCCAGCAATCCCAAAGCTACCACTGCTTGTCCTTTTCGCGTGCGTTCGTACGGTGCTGCCTGGTCTGCGCTAGAAGTAGTTCCGCGAAGCGCGCGCGGAGCCCACTTCATGAAGATCGAGGACTTGTGTTGCATGGTCTGGGGACCTCCTTGTCCCATCGCGCCGCCGCCCGCGCCGACTCTGGGTCGAGTCCGCGTCGAACGTCGAGTCCGCTGCGGGGAGGGGGCTAAAACATGTCCACTACCTCGGGAACCCATCTGCCAGGACCGCATGAGGCGGTGGATTTGGAGATTCCCAGGCCCCTCAGAAAGATCAATGCCCACACGAGCCCCAGGACATTGGTTCCCCGAGAGCGGATATGTATGCACTCTGGCCTTGGACCCGAGCGGAATCCACGTCGAATCCAGGCCGAATCCGCTTCGACTACGCGGCGGTAACAACACAAAAACAGCAGCGCACAAAACCAGCAATGACACCCGAACGTGAGTGGTCGGCCTGCCACGAGGATTGGGTCGGGCATGTCCCCCTACAGGCGGATTTTGGGTGAAACATCAAACATACAAAGAACAAACTATATCCCCAAATGGTCAAGCAACTAATCAAAACATAGCCCCAAGTCTTTTTTACTATTTTTGTACATCCCTTTTGTAGAGGGACATGCCCGACGCAGGCACGAGGAGCCCGGCCCGAGTCCCGGCCGCGGGAGCCTGGTAGTTGCTCTCAAAGGTGCCGTACATGAACTGCGTGATGATGGACGTCTTGCCGACCGCCTGCTCGCCCAGGAACACGAGCTTGTACTTGTTGAGGCCGCTCATCTCGCCTAAATCGCAGGAGCAGCCTGGGCCCGGCGTGGCCCGCCCCCGCCCTCCTGCTCCTGCCGAGTTCTACTCGAGTAGAGGAAGAGAAGACGGCATAACCATACACTTGTGGCGCTCCGAGCGAACTTCTAGGATCTGGGGGCTCCAGCGTCGATCCGAGGAATCCGCTCGAACCGCCAAGCTTGTTCTGTTCATGTCACTGGTTCCTCCCCGAGTCTCGTTCGCATCCCCGGGTTAAGAGAGCCCAGAATCGAATCGATGAGTCGAATCGGCGATCGACATGAATCGAACGGCGGAAATCGGCAGCCGAGTCGGGAGAAGCCGAACCGGTTGACATCGGCAGGCTATAGTGGGCCTCCCTTGAGAACTCGGAGCCCAGCGATCGGAGCCCGATGCCGAACCGAACCGGCATCGGGAACCATCGACATCGAATGGAATCGAAACGGAATCGACTCGGAATCGAAATGGAATCGAAATGGAATCGAACTGGAGTCGAAATCGAATCGAATCGGAATCGCAGCAATCGAATCGGAATCGAAATGGGACCGAATCGGAGCACCCGAAGCGAGCCCTGCCGGGGGGGGAGCTGCGCCGGAGACCCGGCGGGCACTCCTGCCCTCCGCGGGACGCCCCTGCAAAGGATCAAAGGGGGCCCGTGGCGGCGACGGCGCCCAGGCCCACGCCGCCGCGGCCGTCGCCTCCCCGGCAGCAGGCGCCGCCGCCGCCTGCCGCCTGGTGGCGGAGCGGCGACGCGCTTCAGTCGGGCAGGTCCCCCGACGGGCGGGTTCTGGAAGACGAATGCAGAAAAGAATCCCCCAGATGATGAGAGAGAGGGAGAGAAGGTCATCGGCACATCGCCCCCGCACATCGCATGTTTGGACCATGCTTGAATATTCCGCCTGCCCCTACGGGCGGGTTTTGGAAGACGAATGCAGAAAAGAATCCCCCAGATGATGAGATAGAGGGAGAGAAGGTCATCGGCACATCGCCCCCGCACATCTCATGTTTGGACCATACTTGAATCTTCCGCCTGCCGAGGGACATGCCCGCCTTCGCGGGGTGCGCGACCCTGCGGGGCGACGGCGGTGCTCCCGCAAAAAGGCGAGGGGAGAGGACCCGACGGCGCGCGCCTGCCCGCCCCCCCCCCTTCGAGTAGGGGAGCGACTGCAGAATTGCCGGACCCCAAAAATCGTCCTTTTCTCGTCGAGGCCCCACGAGACACACTGCGTAGAATGGTAATAGCAGATCTGCGGAGCCTCGTGGGCACTTGGCTCGAAGCCCCGGCGGGAACACCTTCGAGTAGGGGAGCGACTGCAGAATTGCCCGACCCCCAAAATCGTCCTTTTCTCGTCGAGGCCCCACGAGACACACTGCGTAGCACGGTAGGCAGATCTACGGGGCCTCGTGGGCACTTGGCTCGAAGCCCCGGCGGGCACCACAACAGTTGCGGGACAGATCGGCTCTGTAGGACCACTCTCCTGCATGGACTCTGCACCCCACGGCAGTAGAGGACAAGCAGACGCTTCGATCTCCTGCTCGATCCTCGGGTCGGGCGAAAGGGGGGGATAGCAAGGGGGGGTTTGAGAATCAGCTCACGGAGCTGATTTTCTCAACGCCTCCCGGCGCCGGAGGCAGCTATGTATCGAGGAATGGGCCCCTCGGCGAGGCCGAAACCAGCTGCATGCAGCAGATTTCGTGTAACCCCCCCTTTCCCAATCCCTCCCTTTCGTCCGGCCCGAGATCCCTGGCCCCGACCACGCCCGCGCCACCTCGTGCCGCCCGCGCCCAGCTGCCCCGGTCGCTGCCCTTCCCGGCGGCCCCCTCCTGCGGCTCCAGGGCGCAGGCCGCGGCGGCCTTACGCTGCCCCGTGCGCCGGGCCTCTCCCCGAGGCCCCTCCTGCGACAGACACGGGCGGCCGGACCAGCGCAGCGCGCGGGCGCGCCGAGCGCCCCCAGGAGGCCTCGGGGCAGTCCCTGACCTTCCAGGAGGGCTAGCAAGTCACAGCGGACCAGAACACCGATCCCAAAGCTATTCTCCAACTAAGTCTTGGTTTTGGGGTGCTTCATTTGGTTATTTGAGCTTTTAGGCCTCCAGGGTCAAAAAGAATAGCTCTCCGGAAGGTCAGGGTTGGGCCGTCGGGTGCTCCAGCCTTGGCGGCGCGTCGTGGGTTGGCTCGCGGGTAGGATGCTCCGCCCACGGACACCTGAGAACCCGCGCCAACCTGGGGGCGGACGAGCGCGGAAGCTGGCAGTGCAGAGGACACGCCCGATGTCCCCAGCGGTCTGGTTGACGACCAGCCCGCCTACCCTGGGCACGCCTGGCTTTCGCCTCCCCGCCCCTCTCGCTCCGTCCCTGGACCTGGCACATGTTGATAGTTGCTTGCGCCGCGTCCTTTCTCAACGCTGCTTGGGCCTGCTCCCCTGGCTTCCTGCTTTCTTCTGCATCGTGTGGTCTGGCCACTTGGGGATGGGCCTACCTGGATCTGGAGCTGGTGACGCGTGCACACTTCATGCCCGCCTCTCCGCATCGATGCCTCAGCTTTCTGCCGCCCTGGTAGCCCTGCTGCTGATCGCCCCTCCTTTGGCCAAGTGCTGAAGGCCCCTGATCACCTGGACGGTGCTCTCAGAGCGGAGGGCGCTCTCGGGTGCCCCCGCACCGTTCTCCCTGCCCGCCGCCTGCGCCGTTCTTTCCCCCCCACTTTCTCCCCCCCTCCCTCTACGGGCCGCACTGCCGTGCCCGCCACCAGCTTCGCTGGCTCCCGCCGCTCGCGGCTGCCCGCTCCGGCGCTGTGTGGCCTCGCCCAGCCCGGTGGCGTCACGTGGATCCTCGACTGGATCACCAGCGATCGCTCCACGCCTTGGCGGGCGCCTCCATGCTCATTCTGCGCATGGCTCCCAAGTGCCACACCTCGCACAAGCGCGTGCAGTTCTCATGGCACGGCCCTCGCGCCTGCCCCACACCACCCGATTCTGCCGAGCCTGGTCGTCGCAGCTCGACACCATAGTGGTTATGACCCTTCGACCCAGGCTCTGTTCTTCACCTGGTCGCCCTGACCTGGTATGCTCCCAACTTTACCTGGGTTGTCCTGTTAGGTTCGGCGAACCTGGCCCTGGCCTTAGGTCGGGCATGTCCTCCTACATGCCGATTTAGGAAGAAATATTAAACATAGTTTAGAATAGTTAAACATGGTTTCAAAAATCAAAAGGAACGTCCCCTGACTATTTGTTTCCTCTTCTTGTAATCTCTTCCTGCAGAGGGACATGCCCGACTTAACCCCAGCCGCCACGTTCCAGCCCCTCGGACTTCCTCCTCGCAGGTGCACGCCCGGCACTCCGCCGTGCGCTCACAGCACCCGCTAGCATTAAGTCGGGCGCGTCCCCCGACAGGGGGATTCTGGACGAAATATAAAAGATACCCCAAACATGCTCGAAAATAGCCAACGAATTCTCAAACAATCAGCCCCGCGCTATTGATTGACTATCTTTGAAGATCCCTCCTGTAGAGGGGCAGTCGGGTCGGGCGAAAGGGGGGGATAGCAAAGGGGGGGGAGGAGAATCAGCTCACGTAGCTGACTTTCCAAGCGCCTCCCGGCGCTGGAGGTGGCTATGTATCGAGGAATGGGCCCCTCGGTGAGGCCGAAACCAGCTGCATGCAGCACATTTCGTAACCCCCCCCTTTCCCAATCCCCCCCTTTCGTCCGGCCCGAGACCGGCCCGACTCAACGCTAGCACATGCTCTGAGTGCGGCCTTCGCTCCCCGCGCGCCTCCTCCCCGTGCTGCCCCCTGCCCCGCGTGCCGCACTTGACCGCGACTTCGAAGGGGCCCTGGGACACACAAATAGATGCACCCAAATCACCGAATTCCCCACATTTTCCCATTAGTTTCTGGGTTTTTGTCTTCCCCCCCCACTTCCCTTATTTTCCCATCTTTCCCTGGGAGCCGACGATTCATCGTGTCCGTGTGTTTTTTCCCTCCTGAGCCTTGGCTCCAGGTCGCCACCTGCACGAAACAATGCCCTCGCAGGAGGCATCTGGACGCCGCCGGAGGCCTCCAGGGCTCGAGGGGCCCGACCTCGGGGGAGCAGCCTTCTCTCCCCTGCGCGCCCCGCCGAGCAGGTGCAGCCAAGCGCAGCGGGGGGGGGGGGATCCGCAGAGGAATGAACCATTGACAGCGCTGACAGACGACTGCACGACAACCGCCCCCCTTCTTTTCCTCTCTCCCTAAGAGGGCAACAACATCCCCCCCAGAATAACCATCCCGACAAGCGAGGCCGATTAGTACGCGCACACAAAGAAGGAATCGAACAGGGCAGGGCTGCTTAGTAAACGCACAGGGACGTTTAGTAAACGCCAATTCCAATTCTCGGGTCCGGGTGTTTTTCCTCCCTTGACTCCCCCCCATCTCGGAGGCCCAACGTTTGCTCACCCATGCGCACGCGCACGCTCTGCCCAGTGCGCATGGCTCCCAAGTGCCACACCTCGCACAAGCGCGTGCAGTTCTCATGGCACGGCCCTCGCGCCTGCCCCACACCACCCGATTCTGCCGAGCCTGGTCGTCGCAGCTCGACACCATAGTGGTTATGACCCTTCGACCCAGGCTCTGTTCTTCACCTGGTCGCCCTGACCTGGTATGCTCCCAACTTTACCTGGGTTGTCCTGTTAGGTTCGGCGAACCTGGCCCTGGCCTTAGGTCGGGCATGTCCTCCTACAGGCCGATTTAGGAAGAAATATTAAACATAGTTTAGAATAGTTAAACATGGTTTCAAAAATCAAAAGGAACGTCCCCTGACTATTTGTTTCCTCTTCTTGTAATCTCTTCCTGCAGAGGGACATGCCCGACTTAACCCCAGCCGCCACGTTCCAGCCCCTCGGACTTCCTCCTCGCAGGTGCACGCCCGGCACTCCGCCGTGCGCTCACAGCACCCGCTAGCATTAAGTCGGGCGCGTCCCCCGACAGGGGGATTCTGGACGAAATATAAAAGATACCCCAAACATGCT